GGTCTGACTCTCTGTGCTGGGGCGGGCGGCTTCCCTGGCCGAGGACGTCCCCCTTCCCAGAAAAGTCACATTGGGAGCAAAGGGACATTGAAGCTGGAGGGAGAGGACACAGAGATGGAGGTAGAGCCCTGATCAGGCCCCCAAACCACTGCTAATAGTGGGGTGACTTGAGAGATCGCTCCCCGTGAATGCGAGCGCCTGGAGCCCACCGCACAGAGACTGGGTGCTGAGCCAGTGACACCTGCAAAGGGCCTGCCTATCGGCTGTGCTTTTATATCACTTAGTTATTGTTCCGTGTGGGGGACGGCCCCCTTATCCATTTAACGTCCCCACAGCTGCATCGAGGTAGACCTTTCCCAGGAGAAGAAGTCAGCACTGGGAAGGGCCATGGCACTGTCCAGGGCAGGGACCATTTGCTTCCTCTCCTGAAGGACATGCTGACCTCAGCCTCACTGACCCCTCGTGGCTGGGGACGTTCGAGCAGGAAGCGGAGGCCCTGTGACCCCGAGTCTCTGCTGTGGACACCACGTGACGGGGCGTTGTTGGCTTTGTGTGCTCAGAAAACAGAGATTTCTCCAAGGCCACCTTGTCCCTGCTGGCCAGGCCTACAGCTGTGGGGTGGGAGGCTGAGGACAGAGCCCTGTGGCTCTCCAGGACGCCCGCCTGGAGACGCTCACCTCTCAGGTAAGCGAAATACCCACCTAGAGATCAGCCTTTCTTCCTCCCCGGGACCCTCACTCTATAGGCAGGTGGGTCCTTCCCGGAGGGTGACTGGCGAACGTGGCCGAGGACTTCCTGCGACCTTCCGGAGGCCCTGTCAGCAGCCACGTCCTCCCGAATGCTCTCTGGGACATTAACCGCAGATGCCACGTCGGGCCCCGGCCGTCCAAATTCTCACGTGTGCTCGAGTGATCTTTTAAACCCCTGCTCGTGGCAAATAAGCCCAGAGCTACGTGTCACCTGAGAGTGTGTTCAGCCCATGCGCTGGGTCACCGGCCAGGTCACCAGCCGGGTCCACAGCCTGGGGCTCTCTCTGTGGACAGGGACAGGAAGAGGCGTCGCCACCCAGAGAGCAGAGTGGGCACAGCGCACGCTCCAGATGGCCTTGGTCATCGGTGACGGCCGAGCTTCTGGGGCTTGGGGTGGTCGGGGGGGCTGCAGTGGGAGCTCAGCATGGGTGCTTGAAACCACAGGTGCATGGATCATCTGCCCCACTGCCCATCTTAGGGTGCGCCCCCATCAAAGCCTTTGAATTTACTCCTTAGAACCTTCTGGAAGGGCCGGGTGGGGAACGCTGTTGCCTTGCAGGTAAGGACGAGTTTGGGTCTGGCTTCAGGTGGCCTGCAGCCCGGGCGGCCCCCTGGCTTTCTCTCTGGCTCGGGTACCTGTGGGTTAAACTGCTTCCTGCGTGAGAACGTGGCTGGGTGCCCCAGAGGCCTCCGCCCCTCCTGGGGCCCGTTGGTGTCGTGGGAACACAGCTCGGGAGCTGGAGGAGGGCCCGGCTGTCTTTCACCCGCGGAAAACTTGGCTGTGAAAGGCGCTGAACTCTCAGGGTGTGCCGACTCTGCAGAGGTGCATGCGCACACGTGCCTGCGCAGACACGTGCATTCATGCATGTGTGCGTGCAGGCATGTGTACATGCGTGAGCGTGCCACACGCGGGTGTGTGCATGTGTGTGCGTGCGCTCGCGTCAGGCAGGGAAGGGGGAGCAGATGCTGTCGTGTCATGAATAGTGTGCAGACGCTTCTTAGGGCCTCTTCTTTGGGGACGGGGAAGGTGGCCGGCCATCTGCGCCCAGGCACGGGGTGCTGGTCCCGGTGCGAACGCCCTTGACCCTCCCCGCGCACCCTCAGCGCAGACACCGTCCTCGCCCTGCTTTCCAGTAAGGAGTCTGTGGCCCCGAGGGGCTGAGCACCTTGCCGAGGTCACCCAGCGGATCTGCAGGGGGACTTGGCTTGGGGACGAGGGCCACCGCGAGGGGACCTCGCAGGACGGTTTTGCCTGGCCTCGGCCGTGGGCCTCCTCCTCCAAGGCCTCCCGGTCGGCTGGTGTGGGTGGGCTGGGGGGTGCTGGGGCCCCTTTCTCGGCCATCTTGTCACAGCCGGCGCGGACCCCCTCGCCGTCACGGGCAGGAGCGGGCCTTTGGCGTGTGTCGGAGCCGGGTTCGGGGTCCCTCTGGGCTCTGAGGGGACCGTTCTCATTTCCGCTCTCCCATCCTGTGCACAGCTCCCCCTGGCCTCCCTGCCCCCACCCCATCCCGGGCCTGCGGCTGCTGCAGAGACCACGAGGCCACCGGACAGCGCCGGCCTCCGCTGCGCCAGCTAATTGGGGAGAGAAAGAGGCCGATTGTCTGGCGGGCGTGGGCGGCTGAAGGAGCCGGAGAAGGTGGCCGGCTTCGCCCAGCAGCTGCCGCCCGGGACGTTTGCAGATTACGTCAGCGCCGGCGAGCGGGGGGCGCCGGGCAGAGCGGGGGCTCGGCAGCCTCCCGCCCCAGGCCTCCCGACAATGCAGCCATTGTCGGCCCAGAGTGTCTCATTCCGGTTGAATGGTGTGCGGGCCCCTTGACCAAGGAGGCTGCTGGCCGTTCCCGATCTGTCCTCCCGCATGCCAGGGAGGCGCTGCCCTGGAGTCTGGTCCGCCCAGGGGCTGCGGAGACGACGGGGTCACCCCTGAGAGTGGCGTGTGCCTCGGAGACCTGCGGCTGGACCGAGCTCCCGGCCCAGGCCCCTGGCCGCGTGGCGGGCGCTTGGCAGAGCTGGCCCGGAAGCCGCTCTGGGCTGTACCGCATCGCTCCCGCTCTGCGGGGCCATCCGCCCTCGGCATGGCCTCCTGGTGGGGGGCGAGCTCGGGCCCCGACCCCCTCATGGTCCTGCTGGTCATCGTCCTGCTAGTGCGCTTCCTCCTGTGGTCCTGTCTGGGCGCCTACATCGACTGTAGACTGGCCCGGAGGCGGCCGCAGAAGCCCAAGGAGGACTAGGGCCTCCACCAGCCCTCAGCGTCCGAGCGCCGGGCACGGCGGGCCTCCCGTCCAGGGGGGCACTGCCCCAAGGTGTCCTGTCCTGAGGCCGAGGGCGGTGAGGGTGGGGGTGGAGCAGGGTGGGCAGAGGACACCTGCGTCCCACCCACAGGGCAGGGATGGACCACGCCCTGCCCAGACTGACCGGGGCTGTCCTGGTCGCGTCTGACACCCCACATCGGGGACAGAGGGGCCCCTACTGCCATCTGTCACCAAGTTCTGTGGTCCCCTGATGGAGTGGGGGATCTCGGGGAGGGGTCGTGCTTCCAACTCCTCCTAAGTGTGTTTGTAGGAAGAGGCAGGTGGTGAGCTGGAGGGCTTGGGGGACACAAGGACAGAGGTGACCACATGACAGCCAGCCCTGCCACCAAAAGCTCCCCCTTATCTCAGTCCTCCCCTGCCTCTGGGAGGGATGAGAGCCTGGCCGAGGAGGAGCTGGTGACGGAGCCACTGTGAGGCCGACCCCGAGGACGAACCCCATGAGATCCGTCTCTCCCGCTTCCTACCCTGACGCCCGGGGCCGCAGGAGGACCTGGCGCCTTCGCCTCGGGGCTGCATGCCTTTGGAGCATCTCGCCTGGAGAACCTGTCCTGTGTACCTGGGACCTTGGGCCACATCAGACAGTCCAACAGTGTGACTAGCGACAGGGACTGTGGGACACGCAGGAGCCATTCCACCTCTCGGGGGCTGGAGACTGGAGGCCAGATACCTGCCGTCAGCTGCGTCTGTGAATGGAGCCCATGGGAACTGTGGACGCCGAGGCTTGGGGGGCTTCCCGAGGGTGTTGTCCGTGCGTGTTGAGGGAGGAGCCGGTGCCACCCAAGCTCTGTGCACAGGACGTCCCCGGACTCTGCACTGGGCTGATTTTAGTCCATGTCCTTCCACATGGTGAACTGTAATCGTGACTTTGGGGTGCTCATCACGTGTGACTGACCCTGAGGGTGGACTCGGGGACCCGGAACTTGCACCTGGGGTCAGAGGCGAGGGCGGTCTCGGGGTGCTCCTGACCTGCACCTTCTCCTTGACCACCGTGGAAGGGAGACCCACGAAAAGCGAGCCAGCCCACCCCTCCCCTGAACGCGCGCGTGGCCCCCGTGTCTCTGTCTCGTCTGGAGCTATTCCGAGTGCGTCCGAGCAAACACAGAGTCTCCCCCACTGCCCACCCTTCCCCCACGGCCGGTAGCGCGTTCCCCAGGCCCCTCTGCTGTCTCATATCTGTTTCTGCGGATTTTCTGTCATTCCTATGTGAGTGCGTATATTTTATGAAATAAATAAAGAATCCAGCGGGCCATCCACATCGACGAAGAGCAGCAAGCGAGGCTCTGCGAGCTGAGAGTCGGGAGGGGCCCAGGGCGCGGTCAGCCCCTTGTGTGTTTAGGGGCACACAGGGGTTGAGCAGGGAAGGGGTGCCTGAAGTGGGGGGCGGGGCAGGGCAAAGCTGAGTGAGGTCCCTCGGTCTGTGCCCAAATCTCATTACCAGAAACACGATCCCCGTGCCCTCACCGGAGGGGCCGTGTGGCCTGGGAAGCAGCCGGTTTGGGCTCTGGCTCTGCCCGCTGGAGGGGGTACATCGCCGGGCTGGGGCAGGAGCGCCTGGGCCAGTGTGTGGGGGGCGAGGGCGGGGAGGCGAGACCTGGAGAAACAGCCCCTTGCTTCCATCTCCATGTCCCTCGTGCGGGACGTGACAGCTGCCCTTCTGCCCAGCTGCGGCTGCAGGTGTGTGCCGGCCATCGTGAGAGCAGATGTTTAGGAGGGGCAGGTGGCTGGGGAGCGACCGCCTCATCCCTCCGCCAGGCCATCGGCCCCAGAGTGAGGGCAGAGCTCCCTGTCCTCCTCTCCCTGAGAACAGGCGCTCGGCCTCGGCGAGCTCCCCGAGAGTGGAGGCCCCCACGGCGGAGATGAGTCACTGGGTCTAAAAATAAAAAGAGTCAAGTCACGAAACAGCGTATTTCCTTTTTAAGCCACATGTGTCTGCCGAGGGATCCCCGGCAGTTTGGCGGCTCTGCGGGGCAGGCCAGGGGCCCTCAGCGGGTCTGGGGCCTCAGGCTGTGCAGGCCGCTGGCGGGGACTCTCTTTTCCCTGGCTCTCGCCCTGCTCCCTCGCTGGTATTAGTGCCGTGCGGGCTCGGCTCAGGGCAGGGATGGATGGAGGAGATGGGCCCTGTCCCCAGCAGCTCCGGGTTAGTGGGGAAGGTGGATGGCATGTGGATAGTGCCCGTGGGGCGGATGGCCCTCAGGGCTATCACAGAGGGGCAGAGACACACCAGGGGCAGTCATTCTCAGAGTCCAGGGAGGGCTGCCTGGAGGAGGTGTCGCCAGAGGTAGGATGCAGGGGACTCTGATGGGCAGAAAGATGCTGCAGGCAGAAGGCGCAGTGAGCAAGGGCGCGGGGGCCAACACACGGCGAGGTCAGCGTCCTCGGCAGCGCCCGTCGGCTCATCCGGTTACATGGGCAGAGTCCGGACCCCCAGACCAGCCAGGTTAAATCTCTGAGTACAGGATCTACAAGCTCCCCAGGTGATTCTCATGCTCCCCAGTCTGAGACCCACTGGTCTGGGTGCTGGATGTAGAGAAGGCGGGTGGATGCACAAGGCAGGTCGGGTCTGAGCGGTGAGGGTTCTGACGCTGGCCTGGTACAGGCGTGTGGCGGAGGGGGGCTTTCAAGGGAGCGACACACCGATGTGTGCTCGAAAATGGTTCCTGGGAGCAACGAGGGCGATCGATGAGTGTGGGAGGGGGCGTTCGTGAGAGAGGGGAGGCTGGGCAGAGGCCAGAGGCCTGGACCACAGGGCGATACGGGAGGAAGGGTCAGGGGTCTGAGAGACAGAGCTGGGACAGGACTTGGGCCCCCTCCCCCACCCCCGGGATTCAGGGGACAGCCTTGTGGTGGTCACCAGGGAAGCACGTGCAGAGCACGAGCCACCGTGGGGTGTTTATGTGCTTGTCGTTGGAAGAGGGGGAGAGAAGGCTGAGCGTCGGGCCGCGGGGGCGGGGCAGGGGTGTCCTGGAAATACCCGGGGGTGAGGGGCAAAGAATCGCGTCGGGAGGGTGACGGGGCACTTGGGGGAATCCTCGGGGAAAACAGCCGGCGTATGCTGCTGCTAGAGGTGCCGAGAGAGATAGGGACGGCAGAGACACGGGAGGGGACGCTGCGCAGTCACCCGCGGGAGGCCGAGGTCCCAGGCGTATGCTCCGAGCCAGCGGCGGCCTGGGTTTGAACCCATCTTGTCCTCCCTGTGTGACCAGGGCACGTGTTTTAACCCCACTGGGACCAGGTTCCGGTGGCAGGACAGGGGGCCAAGACCACCATCCGTAAAGCCCTTGGAGCAGAGCCCATGCGCAGGAAGCGGATATGCTGCACGCGGCGTCCTCCGCCGTTGCTGCGGCCAAGCTGCTAATTCCTGGCGGCCAAAGGGGTCAGGGAAAGGAGGGGAAGTTCACGTGAGCCTTGGAGAAAACATACCGCTTCTCAGAGACAGTAAATGTCCCCCTAGCAGGCACTTATTTGTCAAGGAAGTTTGTCGCAAGGCGCTTCACCCCAAATTATTGGGAGATCCGGTGATCGCATCAGCTAGGGTTTTCCAGAGAAATGGAATAGGATGTACATTTCTATAGAAAGAGATTTATTATAAGGACTTGGCTCACCTGATGATGGAGGCCAGCAGGTCCAAACTCTCCAGGGCGGGCCGGCAGACTCGAGACCCAGGACAGCCCGGGTTCCAGGTGGAGCCGGAAAGCAGCCTGCTTTGGGACCAGGAGGAAACGTTGCTTATGGAGTCTGCGAAATGTCTGCTGGAGAATTCTCTCTCGCTCAGAGGAAGCTGGTGTTTTTGTCTGATTGAACGGGGCCCACCATGCAGGGTGGGCAATCTGCTTTGCTCAATCTACCAATTGAAACGTCAACCTCCTCTAAAAACACATTCATAGAAATAGCCCACGTTTGACGAAATATCTGAGCACCTTGTGGCCCGGCCAAATCGGCACATAAATTTAACCAGCACGATCCTGGTTGGCGTTGTCCTCCATCCCTGCTACAAACGCAGTCACGCTGACTGCGAAAGTCCACAGCCCGTTCTCTGCAGCTGGCGTGCGTCTCAGACAGATCTGAGATCCTCCGGCTCAACTGTCGACTGGGCAGCCACGTGGCATTGTCATTTATAGATTGATCGATTGATTGTTCTTTTTTGCCAGGGAGCCAAGTTCGGCGAAGAAGAGCCAGAGCTGATCGAGTGACCCATCTAGGCCTGTTGCCTTTCTAAGAACAGTCCACGCATCCCTTCGTGTGCTCGTCACGAGCGCTACAGGCCTCAGAGCAACATGTCCAAACCCCGGGCACTGCGGTGGGCCCAGGCCCCTCATGCCCAGGTGAGCTGTCGTCTGGGCACTTTGGGGCAGAGTGGGCAGATGCCGTTGCAGAGAGTTGAAGCCCCGGGGGGTGGTGCGGCTGGTGGGATACAGGGGGAATGAGGAACTCTGGACTGCTGACGTCTGAACTTGGCATTGAAGGCTGTGGAGGGGGCATGGGGCTTTCCTAGGAGGGACAAGGCTAAGGACCACGTGTGTGCGTGCGCGTGTGTGTGTGTGTATGTGGTGGCGGGGGGGCAGGGCTGTTGGGTGCCAGATCCTGCTGCTTCAGGAAAAATGAACTCTCGCTTGCACAGAAACACCTGTCTGTAGAGCAGTGTGTGGCGTCTCCGCGCATGCCACGTGCACTGTGGGAGAGGCCGCCTCCACATTCCCTACGTGTTTACCGCAAAACGACCGTATCCTAAGAATAATGAGAAAACTATCGCCCCCATCCCCACTACCCTAACAAATCAACCATCCATTTTTTGTGTTCCCCTCCAGGCCATAAGCCTGTGTGGACATGACTTTGAAACCACAGTCAGAGGGCAAGTAGTCTTGTTTGTTCATCGATTTGTTCAGTAAATGTTGACTAAACACGTACCTACACTGTATCAGGAACTGTGCTCCTGAGAATAATTTCTTAGACTTTTCCCTTTAGAGTTTTACCACTAATGTGACTATCCCTATTAATCAGGGCATTTAACTGTGTAACCATCCACTCCCAATTGTGCTGGCCTCCTCCGATCCGCATGCGCTTCTTGTTCGTGACAGCACAGTGTGAGTTAAGCTGGGCTCTGCTCCACGTGGTCACGCAGGGACCCAGGACCCTCTTTCTCAGTGGTTCTTCATCCTCTAGAGCAGGCGTCTCCAATCTCCAGCCCATGAACCGGTACCGGTCCGTGGCCTGTTAGGAACCGGGCCGCACAGCAGGAAGTGAGTGGCAGGCTAGCGAGTGAAGCTTCATCTACATTTGCAGCCGCTCCCCAGCGCCAGCATCACCGCCTCAGCTCCGCCTCAGCTCCTCAGGCCTGAGATGCACATAGGAACACCATTTCCTCGTGCCAAAAAGGTTGGGGACCGCTGCTCTAGAGCCTTGGAGCCCCCCATTTGGTGCCCTGCACGGGGCGAGCAGAGGACGAAGAGCAGGCAGGTGGCACAGGAGGCTTGCCGGGCCAGGCCTGCGTGCTGTTCCCACTGCATTGTCTGGTGGAGCCCAGTCAGGTACCTGCATCTGCCTGCAAGGAAGGCTGGGCTGGGTGGCCTAGCTGGGTGCCCAGGAGGGAGAGAATGCAGGTTTGGTGACTATCTGGCCAATTTCTGTCACGATCCCTCGACGATGCATTGTTTAGTTTTGAAAAATGAAGTAGGAAGCACGAACCAAATCATGGAAGAGGAAGGCAATATTGTCAACGATATTGAAGGCTCTCAAGAAAATATAAAATCCAAAGGCAAGCTGAAGGGACTCTCTGGGCCAGAGCCCGGCTTGCTGCCCTGGGCTTGCCAGAAGCCTTTCTGGACTTGCCCGTGGACAAAGCCACGTGTCTCGGGGAACCCAGGGCTTGTTACAGCTGAGATATCTGGTGGGACCAAAGCAGGGGTCGTGCTGGAAGGGCAGCCAGAGGGAGCGGATGGCTTTGTGCCATCTGCTTCCATGCTCATGACGGCCAGCTTCCTGCCCTCAGGAACAGGGCAGGGTCAAACACTTCCGGGGCATGACGTGACTGCTCTCGATCGGTCGTGGCAGCCGAGCGGCGGACAGAACGGAAACGTCATCGGCATCTGGTCAGGATAAGATTGTCACCCCGGCATTCTGCCCTGGGTGCGGAGGGCTGCCGTGGAGCAGACCTCTCGAGTCACGTGGCCGTCGCCTGGACTGGCAGCCCTCTGTGTCGAGTGCATGCTGCCATCCTGGGTGTCCCTTCCCAGTCTCCCTGGGGACTTCCGCCACCCCTCCCCGTGGTGATAAACCACTCCTTGTCTCTCTGGTCTTCTCTTTCGTGGTTTATTTTCTCACTTTGTGGGTGGCCCGTCCTTCGGTAGCTTCTGGAGAAAGCGTGACTGGCAGGCAAACCTTTTTGAGGCCTCGCCCGTCCGAAATGATCTTCATCGCATCATAATACTTGAGCGACACGTTGGCCGGCTATGAGATTTTTGGTAGAAGACAATTTTTTTTTAGAAATCCGAAGGCATCGCTCCATTGTTTTCTCACGTCCGATGCTGCCGCCGCCGCCGTCGTGCATTTCGAAGGCGTTCCGAGATCCGATCCTTTGCAGGTGACCCGGCTTTTCTCTGTGGAAGCTCTAGCACCCGGGTTCTTCCTCCGGGCTCCTCCTCCGGGTTCTTCCTCCGGGCTCTTCTTCCGGGCTC